CTACTTGTAAGCTACTGAATAATTCATGAGTCAATGAGAAACGAGTCAGCATAGTATCATGTTTCAATAAAAAACAGAACTATTATCTCGTTATACAACTGGGCACATTGATAACATTTTTGAAGGAAAAATCTTCTTTATCACTTGATTTGGAACTCTCTTCACTATCACGTGACAAATTGATAATTAATCGGTCTGACCGTTCAGATGAGTAGCACCCAGATTTATATAATATTCTTCGTATTTTAAAACTATTCATTTTTTTGTCAATCGAGAGCACTGATATTTTCCACTTCTCTGGTTATCAAAGATGAAGTTTCAGGGTCGAAATCTATTCATCATAATTGAGAGCTATTTTATTGCTGATTCTTAACCATTTCATGAATTTCGAAGCTCTCGCCGTAACAGAAAAAAACGAGTTATTTGACAGTCAAGCTACCAAGGACACTTCGTAATTTTTTCAGTAAATCAACATATGAGTTTGCCATAATGTAGTGCTATTTTGTTGTATATTTTTCCAAATCAGACATTTTGTTGCTTATTTGTTCCCTTACCAGAATTTTATTTGCTCTTGCCGTAACATTAAAAAATGAGGTGATACCAGCTTGACAATCAAGCTAGCAAGAGGTAGCAAGACCACTTCGTTATGTTGTCAATAATTCGAAATATGATGATCATACCAAAATGTATAATGTTGTGCTTTTTTGTTGATAACAAATTTTTTTTTAACGCAGTGACATTTTCGGGCAAATCATCTGATTTGTCCAACTACAAATATTTTGAAATAATACGCATATTTTGATTTTATAGAAACGAGGAGAGAAAATCCCCCCCAAAAAAACAAGTAAAATGAATCTACCACCACCTCGATTAAGCTACAGACAGTATTCAATCCTTCTTTACTAAAAATCAAACGTTTCTCTTATTAAAATATAAGGTAAGTATATTAGTAAATATGTGAACTGCAGAACGATTAAGTAAATGCACAAAAAATTCTTCATCAAGAAAATATATGAATAATAAATAACTGAAGTCGGAATGTTGATTCTTCCTTGTGAAAACGTATAGACGAAACGGTAAAGATGAATCAATTCAGCTGAGCTCACCTCTGAAATTGTTATGGTTTCTCACAAGAAAATCTTGGCAAATTCTGATTTGCAAGGATCTCCAGATGGGACCTGCCCTTCTGTTTCACTTTGCGATACTAATAAAATTGATGCTTTAATTTTCTCAGCTTCGTGTGAGATTCGCATAAATCAGTTGTTCCAAACATCTAAATAAAACACACGAACTTGTCAACGTAGATCCTTCTTAAAAGAGACATACATTTTGATGAAATGTGTCACATCCACACGGATAAATCAAGTTATATCTTCTAAATCCCACAATTGCTAAAAGTGCATCCCAAAAACTTGGTTTTCTGTTTCGGGCCAGGAGCTATTTCACTTCCAGTCAGCTGCTTATGATCTATAAGGCACAGATCCGACCTGTCCTGGAATACTGTTCCCATATTTGGAGTGAAGCACCCAAACATACCCTGAAACTGTTGGATTTTGTCCAAAAAAGGGCAATTCGTCTCGTGGGTGATGCCTCGCTCACAAACTACCTCACTGGAACACCGAAGAAAAGTTGGCGATCTGGCTCTATTTTATAAATATTATCATGGACGATGCTCTTCTGAAATATCAACAATTGTTCCACCCTTTGGCAGTCCCCGCGAAATTAACCCGTCGAGTTGAGGCTTCGCACCCCTTCTTGGTCACTTTGGAGACCTGCAGAACATATCTATCCAAAGACCCGTTCATTCAACGAACAGCGAGGCTCTGGAACTCATTGCCAAGGAAGGTGTTCCCCGAGAGAAATAAGAACACCAATACCTTATTTCCCTTGGTTCTCACGATGTTCTCTGAACATAACTAGATACCTATCTCCTTTCGTGGAAACCAGAACATGAAAAAAACCTTGTGATTTGTGAAGGCTCTGATAGTTGCTGTCGATAGATAGAAGCATCTGTGACTACTTCTTTTGGGCATGGTACCCCAGAACGAATAGCATTCGTGTTGTGAATTTCACTAAGCATTCTCTCGATCGACATATTGACTTGAAATATGTATATTCTTATTTTGCTGTTGTCTCCTAAACACATTTTTTGATTAGCTATTTTCGCCTTGTACACATGTGCGGATTTCTCTTTGAAAACGTTTGTAATTCTGTGTCGTGTCTCATAGGCTTGTTCGTGTTCAAAATATAAACAATCCGAAACCACCAGGACAGAATAGTATGTATGTTTCAAGTTTCGTGGAACTGCGCATGCTTCTGATGGTTTCGCATTGTTTATTTTTCGAACGCGAACAAACCTCATGTAACCAACGTTTACCACAGCCAGGAAAACCACATATTGATACTTATCATCGTTCCAGAGTTTTATAGGGTGTTTTTCGAAAATGTGCAGTTCCGAAAGGTTGTAACCTTCTCACGTTTTTTTTATTGGTACCATATTTTGCTTATTTGAAGAACGCCTCAGCGTGTTTGAATCCAAACGCACGTTTTTTAATGTTACTACGGCAACATCAACTCGAGGAACGTTAAGCCTAAATGGGGTTTCACGCACGCTAGTCGAATTCACACATTCTTATTTTATATTGATCTTCCCATGTATTGATAGTATTTGATACAGTCATTCATCATTCAAAATCATCACAAATACTTTTTTTATTAATGGCAATATAAGTACACCTCTCAAAAACATTATAGCTCTCGATCACGTCATACACCGATAAGCTTCAATAGTGTCATATTCCTCAATAATCAATGATAGCATATACACTTTCCATTGTCAACTTTTTAATTGAAGATCTGACAGGAGTATCATGTAACGTCAAATAAAATATCACTACCAAATGCAAATTGATGATTTTTCTCTCATTTCCATGACACTGAAAGGTATACTGTTGTATTAACGAATTCAACTATTTCACATTATTAGCTATTTCCATTCTTTGTAACGACGATACTATAGTATTTATGATAATAACGTGTACGAATAAAAAAATAGCGTAAAGTCTTGAAACACTTGCACCTGACATTCATTTGATGATTGAAACCATTCCAAAAATATTTGAACTCAAATTAACCTACCAGTAATGATTCCTGATTTAGTTTCCGTCGAAATATAATGGTTCTCAGAGATATATCCACTAGTTACAGGGGTTTGGCGACTCAGTTTTTACGGTATCATATTTCCATACACTACACTGTTTTACCACTAACCAAATCGATTTTTTGAATGCCTCGACACGTGTTTTGCTAACTATGGTAGCATCTTCAAGAGAGGATTTAAACTGTTTGAATTTTCTCCTGAAGATGCTAACATAGTTAGCGAAACACGTGTCGAGGCGTTTGAAAAATCGGTTTGGTTAGTGGTAAAACAATGTAGTGTATTATCGTGCCAAAGGTTCCAGTCTTCGATATATTTCCATAGATTGATTTTTTTTTCATTCCATGGTGGTATTTCTTGTATTCTCTTTCAATAAACAATGCCTCGAACTCTTGTTTTGGAATGTATAACAAATATATTCTGGACTCTCCTCCATTCATGGAATCATTCTCCTCGCTACCATTACTACAACTAAGTGAGTTTTCGAAAGAATTCTGATGTACTATTGATATTTCCTCTGATCTGGAAACGATTAGATGTTACCACGACATATAAAGATTTAGGTATAATGCAGTTCCAAGCTCATTGGAAATGTGTCCATATTTCGTGCGACTTGAGAACTACTTTATTGATTGATGATATTATATCTTAAGATCGTTTATTCATAAACGTTTATATATAAATCTATTATGAGCAACAAACAAGAAAACTAAAACAGTACTAGCCCACTTTCAAATCCTAATGTATTTCCTTCTCAATTCTGTAGGGTAGATTGAACAAACCTCATGTTCACGGATGTTTACTGAGTATTGAAAATAAAACGCGTATGTTATAATATCAATGCAGACTTATATTTCGGGATCTCAAGTTGGTACAAGACAAATTTATAACAGATAATGTAAATCAGTCAAGGGTAAAAAAAGGATAACCATAGTGACTTTCCACTCGTAAAACATAATTTGGACTATTTCGACACTATCACTAACACAAAATATGATTCTTCAATTTACTTTAAAAAACATGAAGCTTGATGCGAGCGAACACACAGAAGATATTTGCTAGAAGGCGTATCTCTGACAAAGTGCCATTTCATAAGAGGTTATTTCTAAATTCGAAAATTGAATCAAATTAGCAACAAAATAGCACCACATTCTGGTATACTCATATTTTGAATTATTGGCAAAATAACGAAATCGCCTCTAGCATGACTGTCAAGCTAGCATCAACTCGGTTTTTTTTTCTGTTACGGCGATACCTACAAAATTTCTGAAATGGAAATAAATTAGCAAAAAAAAATAGCTCTAATTATGAGATACAGTTTGTTACGTTCACGAGTTCTGTACCATAGACACTCAGTACCTACTAGCGGGAACAGAAACATAGCGGTTAGGGTCCACAATGACACATGACACTTCTAACCCCCTCTTAACCGGGGAATGCATCTTTCGACACTACCACATGTACGAGAACGACGTACGATGGATACTAGGTTAAGAACCACCTACATATTATATCTTACAAGTTTCAATATATTAGGAGGATCAGAGAACTACTACTGAGTCTCATTATTCCTCTCCTCACATACGACTCATACGGCAAACACAACACAGTTTTATTGATTTTTTTCATGTGGCCTTGCCAGCTTGACACAAGTTCTTCTATAGTTGTTTCAGCAATCAAAGTGGTGACTGATTTATAATTATTTATAATTGCGCCTTTCAATCAGGAAACTGAGTGCGTCATCTAAGGATGTTGCTGGTCGCAGGCAGTTGTTGATATGTTTCTTTACCTCACTTTCAGTCGATGATGTGCGTCCTCATTTTCATTAGAACTCTCATTACAGGTACAAAACCTTGTATGATCACGTAGATGTTGTTACCATTCGTGAAAATACTGAAGGAGAATATTCAGGAATAGAACATGAAATCGTTGAAGGAGTTGTCCAAAGTATTAAGTTGATCACCGAAGATGCCTCAAGGAGAGTAGCAGAATTTGCCTTCCAATATGCTGTGGAAAACAATAGGAAAAAAGTCACTGCAGTCCACAAAGCAAACATTATGTAAGTGTTGATTTTGTAATAGTTATTTATGTAATGATAGTGTAAAATGGACGTCGGCATTTATGACCATTAGTTATGAAATGTTGTGCAATAGTTTATAGGACAAGGTAGAGTTTGGTAGTGACTCAAATTTGAATATGATCTCTTAGGTAATGGTAACGGTAATGTAATATGATGAATAAGTATATTCAATTTGTGATTGGGACATACTTTATTTATATAACAATTCATCATGTAAGTTTCATTATTCAGTGAAAACACCCAATCATAAGATACATCCCGTTAACTTATTGAAATATCTTGGATCAATAAACTGTATTTCAACTACCACTTCAGGAACTTTAAACGAAAAATACTTCAAAATTGTCAAGTACAAAAGAGGGTTATTAGTATCATTTTCTTTAGCTGTTTAGATATATTTCATGCCTATATGAAGTCATCTGTTGCGATATAAGCATACGCTAGATCTGAACTGTATAAATTTTACTACCTATGCTAAAATTGAAAAATGCAAGAGCTTCATTTCAAAGCACATTAACCAAAATGGAAATCGAAATAACTATATCCACAAAACTCTTCAAATTTTAATTACTATTCACATTGGAGAAGGTACATCAATTTTCCATTGTCATCAGGGTGCAGGATCTTGGTAGATTACCAGTAAGAGCACTTCTATCTTTATTATTTTAAATACTAGAAAATAATTAGATTTACTCAGAGCTGTTATATAATATAATTATAGTGATGGAGCATATTGTCATTGAGATTCGAATACCTCCAATGTGACATATTTTGTCAAAATGGTATTTTTACAGCATTCACATCAGTTGAACATTCAGCGCGAGTCAATAATACCTTTAATCCAGAAATACTTATCCTATAATATAAAAGTCCATGTTCAATTTTCTCCAATGTGACAAGTTCATCATATAGGAGACGGAAATATCTCCAGGGTGAAGAAGTGTTACATGGGAGATATTACATTGCATTCTTGTGTTTTGTTGTGAACCCTTTCACGGATACTTCGGATATATTGCAGTGTACTCACCGAGTTGGTTGTTGATTATAGCTGCAAAATGAATGGCAAGTTTTCGTATGATTTAAGCTCCGTTATTTTTATTTTTCACCTTCAGATTACTTAGCGCGGATGAGACTCGCGCGTTCAACAAATCCATATGAAATAAAAAAATTTAGATTACACCTTTTTTAAGAAATATGAGTTACCATCCAATTTTGACTCGATTAGACCAGGAAAAAGGGTCAGAGATCCTGTAGTTGTCGATATCAGACATCTGAAATACTTACCTAATGGGGAAGTTTACTTCAAGCTAGATTATTCTGAAGAATAGACTGTGATGCCGCGACGGCGTGAAAACAAAAAAAATGGAAATTTATAAGGCACAGCTTCACAAAACTCATCTACCCATATCAGACGACAAATATAAACATCTGCAGGAATTGAAATCTGTAATGGAAATGGACCATCATGCTTTTTATGGTGTGCTACCGCATCAACGGAAGAAAAAGAAATAAGATCTTCCTGAACGAAGAACAAATCATCATCAATGAGGATTATGATTTTTTTCCATTACACTTATTTCATGTATAATATTGTCATTTTTCAAAGTGATAAATATACAAAAATAAAAGTTCACTTCGCTCTGGTCTACTATTTAATTCCTTATTCTGAACATAACGATTTCTCATTTCATCAATGTGAAGGCTATAGAAACAACTCCTATGTGCGACAATAGATCTTGTGGTGATTCCTCCTAAGTGATATCTCTCATGTGATCATCTACAGAATGTGCAATACCTACAAAAATATAAATTCAATAATTGGTCTTGGTCAAAACACAATTTCGATATTACTGTCTTAAAGCAAAGATCATACATACCCTAGATAAGCACCGTAAATGTAAGAATGGGCAACGCTAAATTGGGAACGAACAGGGCGGTGATAATCCGCTGTGCGCATCTAATCATTATAACGCCGCGTATTCCACCGACTCGGATAATAATATTTGGTCAACGAATAGCACAGCCGATTAGCCGCCGGTCTGTTAGTTCCCATCGGAGCGTTGCCAATTTTTATACAGGCGTTGACTATCTAGGGTATGTATGATCTTTGCTTAAAGTAACCTAATGACATATTTGAGTAAACAAAAAAAATCACATGCATTGAGAATACTATTCGCGAAAATCACGAAGTGGGTGGCCTCTGGTGTTTGATTTTGGAAATAAAATAGAGGTGAACACTTAGATCATCTGTAGGATCTAAGCGTTGATCTAAGGGTGAACAACAATCCATTTTAGCATTGTCACCACTTGTCACTATTGTCACATTGTCATGTCAGCATTATGATTCAATACTTTTATAGTTAAAAGTAGACTATTTTCAATGATTTTCGTGATTATTTTGTATAGGTATATGGGATAGGTAGATATTTTCAACCTTTCAACATGCAGCAAATACATAAAACCAAAAATACGAAATCGAGAAAGTGTTGTTCAGTTCCGCAGTGCTCTTCATATTGTACAGACAGTGTTTCTTTACATAAATTTCCACTTTGGAACCCCAAATTGTGTAAAAGATGGAGGAATTTGTTGAAGATTGGTAAACCAATAACCAATAATATGTACGTTTGTAGTGAGCACTTCTTACCTGGAGATTTTACATCCTTCAATAAATCTTTAACTGAAGGTAAAGTTTAAGGAATTGAACTTCTTTAAATCACATCTATGCTTGCAAATTTCATTTAAGGCAAGTACATTTCGCATTCGAAAATGTTTTTTTTCATTTGGGATGATACTTATTTCATGAGGAGACTCTGCTAATGCAGATGATTGTAAACACAAGCTTTTGATCACATGCGTTTGTTCTGCATCCACCCCACACAATATAATGTGACCTGCTCTAAAAACTGCTTTTCCTTCTTTCAAGGGTCTCACCCTATCGCCAATATATTCTAATATATCCGCGATGGACACTTCAACTTTAGGCACTTTTCTGAAATATTATGTGACAACTAAGTGACAACAGTTTGTTGTTCACCTCTATTTTGAAATTTGACGTTGGACAGGCGCCATCTTTTGGTTCGTGATTTTCGCGAATTGTCACGAGTGGCTCTAACGCCCACTATCGCAACTCGAACTTACTCGCTTGCAAGAGGTTTTTTGAAAATGATAACTAAATAATTTAACTCCACTTCACAAGTTTATTAATTTTGAATAAAAACAATTAGGGCATGAAATAAATTGACCATTAATTATCCAGCAAGATACATCCAACTCAAATCGAAACAAAACAGGAAAACTAAAACTAGTAATACTCAAAAAAGGTACTTACAGAAGGGCTCGCTTTTCGTTGGAGGATTGGAACTGCCACTCACGAAGTTTAGACATGATGCAAATAAGTTTGAGATTTACTTCTATTAGAAGATTTGAAAAGACTTCATGGTCCACTGTCCGAACCACAACTGCCGGTTTTTTCTCTAATACTTTTTCATCCTGGTTTTGGTAGTGGTAATTGATTCAGCATAAAAACTAGTGTATTCACCTCGATTAGGAAAAATCCAAAACCAGCAGTTTCTGCCCGTCAGCGACTTTACTGGAATAATAATAAAATAGAAATCCGAACTATAATTTCCTTTAAATATCGTAATTCTCTACTGATATCCTGTAAGCTAAATAATTCTAGGAATATGATCTAGACTAGGTTATTTTACTGTTCTTGAATGAAATGAGAATTTCAAATATTCTCAATAAAATTATCGTTTTTATCCATTCTTGACACTATTAGTTCAAACAAGAAGATTTTCATCTCTCCTGAACAATCTTGAACATAGGAGGTATTCACATCTCAAGGACGATATAAAAAAGATTCAACTTCAAATAGCATTTGAAGTTTGTTTTTCTCACTTATGTATCTTGGTGAAGCCCAAAACCCTGTTTCATTTCAGGCGTATGTCGGACGGTCTCTTCTTGAGATGCTGCAGAGAGGTAGCGAAGAATTTCCCTCAAATCAAATTCGAAGAACGGTACCTCGACACTGTTTGCCTCAACATGGTACAAGACCCGCACCAATACGACGTACTTGTCATGCCAAATCTGTACGGTGACATTCTCTCTGACATGTGTGCGGGGCTCGTCGGTGGATTAGGTTTGACGCCGTCAGGCAACATTGGACTGAACGGAGCCCTATTCGAATCTGTAAGTTTGATTTTATTGAAACGCAACTCTTTTTACTAGAGCCGATAAACTGCTGAGAGCATGCAACGAATCGATGACGTTGGCAGATGAACTCATATGCTGCACTCCTCACAACAAATTGACTATCATAGAAGAGAAGCATAATTTTTCAATGTCATCATGAAACTCCTCAAAACACGGTTTCATTCTCAGTACGGAGAGGTCAATAACCCCCAATAAATTTTTATACTAGAATCTCACGATATTCCATGAAATATCATGTAACCATATGGATTTGTCTAAATTTTTTTGTAATTTCAGATATCAAGGTATTGACTCACTCTACACCCACCATTGGGTCATAATTTCCATCATTAAAATGAGTATGATAAATAATGCAAATCAAAATTTTTCTCCAACAGACCCGATTTCGTAATTATATCCTAAATGCTCATTTAGTTGAAAGGTACATTGAGTCTTGACGGCTACCCATTTTATTATAGAATATTAACTACCTTCACGAAAAAAAAACCATTCAAAAGAGATTACTTTGGGTGGTATACCTGGAAAGAGTAAAATTTCAACAGTGACCGGGAATTTAGACACAGTTTTATAAGGTTATGGCATCCATTATGTTTTATATTGTATATAACTGTTGTCTATTGTGAGGCTATGGTAACATTTTTACACATTTTTCAAATCATTTCTGTTGCGTTCTTCGTTTGAGAAGGTGTACATCAGCATTTATTGTAATAAACTATTTACTGTGGACTCTTGAAAGTGTGGAGTTTGTAACCGTATATTTCTTGTGTAAAAATGATGAAAAGCAAATAATAACAAAACGAGTGAGGCGAGCCACAGTTTTATTTTTCATTAGTTGAAGCTCTATCAAATTCTCAATCGCTTCCAAGAGTGAGATGGAAGTGGGTGATAGAGTTATCCTGAATCTAGTGAAAAGATCCAAATCATCATATTTTTTCTCTAAATGGTTCAGTCTTTCTCTGATCATTTTTCTGCATCTCACAGACGTAAAGACGTAAAATCTTCATCGTCACTTGTAAGTATGTAAGTGAACTTTTAAATGTTAATTATTGTATAAACTCGTGTAACTGTATCAGTAGTTACTGCATCTTGACTGGCTACAAATGTTGAAAATAACATGGTCAAATTAAATTCTGTTCTATTCTTGAACAATGTCAGCAAAATATGACAAAAATCTAATGAGTTGTATTTTTTCTCCATACATAGCAGATGATGAGTTGATAAACGTGAAGAAATTAGGTAATTTGTTATGAAGAATGGACATCGGCAGCCAAGAGAATTTCGAAAAAATCATAAAAATACAATGGGAATAAAATCAATCACCAATAGTTGAACATAAACGGACAAAAAGGTTTTGAGTGTAATATTACATTTGCTACATTTAAAATTTTAGGGATGTGTTGTGATTTCGGAACTGTTTCCTCTCTGTCACAGGAGGGAGTCGTTCCGGCTAGCTAAAATGAACTGTGATTTTTCGGAACGGTTTCAAATCACGGGGTACGGGCAAGAAGCTCATGCTCTGCGCTCATTCGTGGCAGTGGCGGATCATGGACGGTTGGACGGATTTTATTTAACAGGAGCGGAAGCGGAGCGGACAAGGATCAGTGAGCGGAGTTACTTTGAAATTGTGGATCGGAAGGGCCAATAGATTCAATTATCACGATTTTTGTACTAATCCCCATTCAAGGAAAATTAATAAAATAAGAACTCTTTATCAACAAAGTACAGAAATAAAAAGGTATTCTTAAATAAACAAGTCCCTGGTGGATGATGAAATATTGATTCACATATACAGGGTGAGTCATGAGGAACTGTACATGCTCCTACTACGAATAGAGGCAGCTGAGGGGAATACCAAATGCCCATCAGAAAGTGTCTCCGCCTCTTCTAAAATGATCTATAGGGTGATTGATGGGATATGGCCAAAACTTCTGTCAATCATATCTTTCCAACAGTTCTTTCGATTCCTTTCATTTTTTCATGGATTATTATGCTGTCACTCAGCAATCAACTGACGTATTCAGAATCGTGAAAATCCAGGACCGGTCTTGAGAAATTCTGCCAATTTGGTTCATATAAAAAATTTCACCCTGTATGAGGTTTTATGTACCAAAAATTTACTGAATCCAACCCTGGATATAGATGAATGTTGATTTTCAGTGAACTGAAGAATAGGAAATGATGTTATTCTTGCTTCTATTCGTGAAATTCTAGGGGTGCGAAGTATTCATTTTCAAATTAATACATTTGTTGTGAAAGTTTCACGTGTAGTAAAAATTGATCGTACTCTAAGAAATTCTGTGAAACTCTGAGGAAAATTTGAAATACTTAATTTTGGTTGCCAGTTCATCAACTTTGACAATTCCATATCACAGGTTACTAAAACCATATACAGGGTGTAATTTTTGGTGATTATTACTCTCTACTAAAAAATTACTGAATCCAACCCTGGAAATAGAAGAATGTTGATTATTGTTGAGCTGAAGAATTGGGAATGATATTATCCCTACTTTCATTCGTGAAATTCATGCGTTGCGAAGTATTAATTTTCAAATTAATACATTTATTGCCCAAGTTTCATGTGTAGTTTAAATTAATCATTTTTTAAGAAATTCAATGAAATTGTGAGGAAAATTTGAAAAACTTCATTTTAGTTGCCTGTTCATCAACTTCAGAAATTCCATATCACAGTTTACTAAAACCTCATACAGGGTGAAATTTTTTATATGGACCAAATTGGCAGAATTTCTCAAGACCGGTCCTGGATTTTCACGATTCTGAATACGTCAGTTGATTGCTGAGTGACAGCATGATAATCCATGAAAAAATGAAAGAAATCGAAAGAACTGTTGGAAAGTTATGATTGAAAGAAGTTTTTGCCATATCTCATTAATCACCCTATAGATTATTTTAGAAGAGGCGGAGACACTTTCTGATGGTCATTTGGTATTCCCCTCAGATGTCTCTATTCGTAGTAGGAGCATGTACAGTTCCTCATGACTCACCCTGTATTACACATTAACATTCATGAAAACAAGTTTACTAACTTTGTCAGAGGATAATCTGGCCCTGCGTTCAGTCAAAGTTTGGTCCCGTATTGTACTTCAACAATTGAACGTGACAGTGAGGTACCACTTGGTCTAATACCAGCAATTTTTTTATCAAAATGACTCCATATTGAAATTTTCTTTTTTGGGGGTCCTGAAGGTTCTGCTTCGCTCTTATTATTGGAGCCGTTCAAGTTGTTTTCTTTGGCCTGTCTCGTCAGTTCGTCTATTTGAGACATTTTCTGGGTTTTTACCAATTTCTATGATTTCTCAGCCACATTATCGGAAGAGAATGCGACATTTTTGAATCTGGGTTCCAAAAATGTTGAAATTACCAACGTATTGCTACTTTCCACTCTACATTGCACTCACCATATTTTGGATCAAAGCAAAGTCCTATGTGTTCTTTCCAGTCAAAATATTTTCCAATCCTCCTGTGAGAACTATAACTGACCACTAACGATCTTTGTTATTGTCTCTAGTGGCTCCAAAACTTTTTTGATGTCAGTTAACATTTGCCACTCTTCAACAGCAATTATTGGAAACTTGTCCTTATTCAAAAGCGCCATAGTTGATCTTAATGGCTCTTCCAGTTCTAACAACCTTTCAACCATGAACGCAGAAATTTTTCCGATGGCCTAAGAAAGTGTTTAAGATCACCATATACGTATTAATAATCAATACGGATAATCTCTATCTGTTTCCATAGCGAAACATGAAGCCGATTTTTGAAGACAAATGACTATCCATAAGGAAAAGTTTTGAAACGATCAGACACATACTGCTTTGATTGAAAGGCTAGTAAACGTCATTGTCCACCGAAACGCATGTCTTTGATGACTACTATAATAGCGCATGGCGCATGCGTATCATGCCACCAAATCCTTATGGATATTCATTTGTTTCATATTTTTGGCTTCATCCTGGCACCCGTTATGATCCGTATTGTTTATTAATACGTATATGGAGATCACACGTTAAAAGGTAAGACCCCCGTCATTCCTTGCTCGCACAAGTCTCTTGGAGACTTCTGAGGGTTGCTCGTAAGGGGGCAACCGAATGATGGATAAGAACAATTTTAGAACAACAACAATATAAAAAGTTGAATTCCACCTTGTACATCTTAAATCAATTTGTTTGGGTGTTTTTCCCATTTGTTTTTGAATATCTATCAATCTAGTCATCGCTTTAATACTTCTTCTGAAGTGGCTGACGAGATCTCTCACTTTTTTTATCAAATCCTCTACGATAACCAAACAATCTTCTGCAATTGGATTGATGGTATGCGCAAAGCAGGCAAGATGCTTCCATTTCAGTTCATCTCTTATTGCTTTCCGAATATTTGCTGCATTGTCAGTAACCGCTAACTTGATTTTATTCACAAGTACCCAGTTCACCACAATGGTTTTCAGTTCTCGTGCGATGTTTACACTGGTATGATCTTCGGAAGTGGATGAACATTATAACAAAATTGAATTCAACCGAAAGTTTTCGTCGAGGAAGTGAACTGTAACAGCAAGCTAACTTTCAGTGTTAATTGAGGTCCAATGGTCAGTCGTAATTGTAACACTACTTGCATTTTGAAGCATCGATTTCACATTATGCAGAGTCTCCTCATACATTGCAGGTAGGAGAGTATGTGTTAATGTTTTTCTGGTTGGCAGCTGGGGATGAGAATTCCCGAAATCCTTCGTCTTCTACGATGCTGAAAGGTTGATAATCTTTGAAAAATAATTTCATTAATTTTCTATCAATTTTGCTTTTGTGACCCCAATATTTTTTGGACAATATAATTTACTTTGAATAGCAACTTTTTTTTTCCTGCGCATTCACTTATGACCACTGCCACTGAAGAAATTTTTGAAATTTAATTTTGCTTATTCTCATTCGGAGTCGAACCCATCTGACCCAGCTCTTCCATTGGATGTTTCCTCTCCATGTGCCTTTTTAAATTAGAAGTAGTTGTTCTGAAGCTCACTTCATTACCACACAAATTGCACTTTGCTTTAACATCTGAAACTGGCGTGAAAAAAATCCACAAACCTGATTTTTTATTATTCATATTCTTATTGTTCTTCAATTGAACAGAGGATAAGTGAACTAACATCACAATAAGGGTGACTGGCGACTGGCGAGCGAATCCCGCCTTTTTGATCATTTGGTCATTGTTGCAAGTCGTACCTAAGGTCAATCTCGCTCAGTACCTTTGAATCAACATGGTGAGCAAGGGATTTCGTGCCGTATGCTTACGCACTGTTCTTTGTGTGCCCCGTGAATCCCCGAATCCTGCTCGGCGCGTACACAGCTACAGTGACGTGACGTGCTCGTATGCAGTCACTTACCTCCAGTGTCAAAAGAACGACTCCGAAAAAGAGCTGTGATTTGGAACCGTGATTTGCCCGGAACTGTCACAGTTCCGAAAAATTCCTGTCACAACACATCCCTATTAAAATTAGCTTTTTTGTGTCAAAAGACAAAACGTTTGATTTTCTTGGTATATGATCAGATGGTTGAAACGCTCATATCTTGAGAGTTCAAGAAGATGAATCGATGTTTTAAAAGGTCCTCGTCTAGTATTCTTTTTTGGCTCTCTAAGATACTGGTGGAAAGAAAACGTCGAAACTAAAGTTTTTCAAGTGTTCCTTTATTGATGTTGTATAATTGCCAGGCATTCTGAATGGCAACTTCCAAACAGTGAACGAATTTAGGAAAATACCATTTATTCCACGAATTTATGTGCGATATATGGACATGTTCTGATCGCACCTATCGACTCCTCCCATATTATTATTGTGGTTTCACCAAATTTGGCTTGAACTTGAGAAAGGAAATAGACATATCTGAGCTTATTTTTCCACTTGCCATATCAAGCGTTTGAATTTGTTCCAACCCTTATATGCTACATGTATGCAATATTTTACCATTGCATTTTTGTAATGAATTATCGATTTTGTATGCGTACTTGTCCAATTTCGAGATAACTTCCCAACTATATAGAATTTTCGTTTCTGTATAGTATCCCATTTGGTCTTCTACCTTTCATAATCCAAATATTTATTCTGCAAGATTTTTGAAATTGAGTTTGCTAACAAAACATGTTTCTTCAGTACAGAGCCTCCAGCTTATTAGTGGGTCAGATTTAGGTAACAATTGCGCTATGGAAGCATGGCATTTTAAGGAATAACTATTCAGTATATAGTGATTGATAATCGGAAGAACCTGAGAAAGTTGACAAGAAAACAAAATGGCGGCCGTATCAATTCAAACAGAATATTTCACAAGTGAAAGGGACATTACAATTGAAGACCTTTGTGTGAAAAGAATGTATGCCACATGCAATTATTATTCCTGAGCAAATTGATGCTAAAAATTCATTCAAGTCCACGAAATCCAATTACTTACCATTTATTTGTTTCAGGTGCAAAGATGCAATTGTTACCTAGTATTTGTCCATTTTGAACGAAATGAAAAAAATCCGTAGTTTTTATCAGTCATATTTCAGTTGCAATATAATGAGCTTTGACGATAAATAATTCATTTGCTACAGGAATTTTCCTACTAGCCTAAAGTGTGCAGTTGTGTTACCCCTGCATAAAGGAGGTGCTATTGACGATCCTGACAACTTCGAACCAATTTACATGCTCTGAACACTCCAAAATCATTGAGAAATTGGTGAAACGGAGAATGCTTGGCTTCCTAGACCAACATAATATAATAGCGCAAAAACAGTTTGGTTTTCAAAATAGAAAAAAAAACACGAATGATGCTATTTTCAATTTTCTCGAAAAAGTATACTTGAGCTTGCATAAAAAAGAGGCTGCAGCAGCAGTGTTTCTTGACCTTTCTAAGGCTTTTGACTGTGTATGTCATGAAATTCTGTTGCAAAAGCTTTTTCATTACGGTATTCGTGGTACACCTTTAAACTGGTTTAGATCTTATCTGACTGACAGGAATCAAAGAGTATCATTGTCAAAAAAGACTTTCGATAAAGGTAATGTTTTACGGGGAGCCCTCAGGGGTCAGTTCTAGGCCTAATTCTCTTCTTTATTTATTTCAACGATATGGTTAGTCTAAATATTTCTGGGCACCTAACTTTATTTGCAGATGATACCACGATTCTCTGGCATATCGAAGATCGAGCTAGTTTGGCTCAGTCTATTTCAGTGGACGTTGAAAAAATTAAAAGTTGGTGTGAAGCAAATATGCTAACTCTTAATGTTTCTAAAACAAATTTAGTGACTTTCAAGTCTGAGGTTGAACAAATTATGCTAGGAGATCAACTCATTGAGAGCGAGTCTGTCACGAAATTGCTTGGTGTTCAAATAGATAGCAATTTGAAGTTTGACCAGCATATATCAGCTCTTAAAAAAAATAACCTCCGGTTGCTCGTAGCCAATATGATATCCCGTGAACTCGGATTACAAGCTTCAATATCGGCATACTACTCACTTATTGAATCGCATCTGAGGTATGGAATTTCATCATGGGGATGCAGCTGTCATGGTCTCTCAAATAGTGTTTTCGTCCTTCAAAAAAGAGCTCTGAGATTTGTATTCAAACTCAATTCTTAATTATAAGATATTGACGGTATTTGAAATTTTTGTTTTAGAAACTGTCTGCCTGCTTCACAAATATAAAGGAAATTTCATGAACACAAACATAGACAAGAATACGCGTAATGAAAGAAACCTTGCTCCTCTGCCTAATTTATCATTAACGAGACAACTGACTTGATTTATAGGAGTGAAAAGATTCACAATCATTTACCAGATTATATAGCTATAATCAATGATTTGAAACACTTCCGGAAATCTGTCAAAGATATGTTAGTGGGAAAATGCTTGTATAGTTTAGACGAATACTTAGCCTACAAATTCTAGTCCTTCTATGATATGTGAGAATTATTAGAGATACATATTATTGATTTCAGAGAGACATGTTCTTTGTAATAATGTTCTATGTTATTTAATATATTTTTGTTATTTGTTATTTTTATATATTCCTCTTTTATTTTATTTTATTTATTTATATCTTGCAATCAATGTATCGCAATATATTGACTTTGTCGACAAAATGTGTTTATTTTAGACAGTAAAGCTTATCTATCTATCTACTAGACATTATTTGTAAGTACAAATAATGTCCAGCTCTGAGCTAGTATTCCACCTTTCGATCAAACATGAACTTTTGGGGGCGTTTTCCAGGTGCACGGTACAGCTCCCGACATAGCCGGCCAGGACAAGGCGAACCCCACCGCTCTTCTGCTCTCTGCCGTCATGATGCTCAAGTACATGGGCCTGAACTCTCACGCGGAAAGGATACAGAACGCGTGCTTCGCCACCATCAAGGAGGCCAAGTTCCTCACCGGGGACCTCGGCGGCAAAGCGAAGTGTTCGGAGTTCACGAACGAGATTTGCGAGAAGGTGGCCATATCGTAAGGGCCGCGCAGAAGTTTTGTGGAATTTGTAAGTAAACCAGTATTGGTTTTGAAAAACCCATTATGTAAGTGTCTCAAAATGTCCAATTTCCTGTCGAACTCTATTGAATTCTGGAGTCACTGGATGGTATTAGTAGATGAGAGTTCGGACACAGCTGGACTTCTGTCCAATGGCGTATCCAGACGATGTTTGAGAGGGGAGGCATAGAAAGTCACCGATCAATAAGAATAGCATGCAAGAGAAATGATATGGTTACTTTCTGAGGCAAATGCGTTTTTCATCAAGAAAATTGATACTAGTAAACATGAAATCTTTAGTTTCCTTTTAAGTATCGAAATAACTGGTGTAAAAAAAAAACAAGTTCAAACTATTCGATTTGATCCATCAATATATGTTGAATTCTGTAATAAATCATATTCCTATGAAAAAAGTAAATAAACAAATATTTCTCTGGAAATACTTGGGTACAAAAATAAATAAAAATATTCCCCTTCAAACAAAAATCAAATTAAACAGACAAATATAAAAATATATAAAATGAAGAATCAAATTTTGAAAACTAAATAACGAATTCCAGTCGTCTATTCTTCTGACTAGCATATCTGTGGATGATATCATCAACATTCAGACTGCTGCAGATGCCCCTGTGAATATGCATTAACCCATTTAAAGGCCGGGACACATATATCCGCGCCGAGTCCGCACCGCATCCGCACCGAGCCTACTCCGCGAGTCGGCCGACAGTCGGTGATGGAGGTGGGAGGCCACACATTTCCGTGTGTCGGCCTGCATGCAGTTGCATTTCAGTTTTCAGTTTGCCCTTTTTGAAGATGTTGAAAAAAATCAGTAGCAGTGAGTTAGCGATGGTAGCACTCGCATTAGAGGAAGAAGATACTAATTGAGGACCTCGGTGCAAGAACCGGGCAACTCCATTTTATGCCGAAATTGGGTTATTGTATTTAACATATAGAATTTTTTCTTGCGCATCTTTTGGTGCAAGAATCAAGCGAATCCAACAATCTTCTATTGAGTTAACACGGTAAAGGATTCACCTCATTAGCAATTGAGGTGCAAGAGTCGGGCAACTCCAGGAGTTAGGAAAGTGAAAGTGAGCCCTTTCGAGATTCGGGGAGTGAATATATGTTCCAAAATCATAACTGTTGACGACGAGGACCCAAATTCTGGCAATGTTAACGAAGATCAAGACGCAGGAAACGTCAGCGATTCATCCTATGTTCAAAATAATATTTTTTCACAATATTTCTCGTTATATATTCCATTTTCAATAAAGAAGGAAAATTATTACACGAGTTTGACTATATTTTCAGAATGTTGTCTTTTTGGGGCAAGAAACAGGCAAACTTCTTTTTTAGCTTAGGGCTCCGTGGCCGAGTTTGTCTATGCGCTGATATTCGCTAGATAGCCGTTCACGATACAGAGGTACTGTCGGTTCGAATCCGGCTATCGGCTGAGCATTTTTCTTTAAAATGTGTGATTCATGGTTGTAATCCTGGCAGCACCTCGATGCCCTAGAAGTGGTTCGGATTCCACTATAAGCTGTAGGTCCCGCTCTTCCTTACCCCGCACAAGTTTCGACTTCTGGGGAGTTGGTTCCCAACTTTGAAGTAGCGATATACAAATACAAATACAAAATACAATGTGAATGAAAATAGTATCGACGTAAATACAGCTTTTCTAACGTAACTCTAAAGGATTCATACCATTAAGCATAATGTTTTTCAAGTTTCTCAAAAATATTGAGTTTTTTTTCATTCCTCAACATTTTAAAAAATTGGAGTTGCCCTGTTCTTGCACCGAGGTCTTCAATTGGAGACAAAATCGAAATTATCTTCAACAGACGTTCTGTGTAATTGACTGTATTTTTCATTTGTTTGGTCGTTCAACACTGAAAACTTCCAAATTTCCTCTATTAGCTTTTCCGATTCCATGTTATAAACCTCTGTGAACCCGCACCGCATCCGTGTTAAATTAAACAGAACTAGTTGGACACGGCGCGTACACGATGCGGAGGTATCGGAAGGATGACGGTGCGGACAAGTGTGGACTTTCTGGTAAGATTGCATCATTTTATTTTCTCGCCGTGTGTCGTCCAACACACGGCCGTCATGCGGTGCGGACTCGGCGCGGATATGTGTGTCCCGGCCTTAATCCCAAGTATACGAAAAATATGATAACATGTGTTTTAGACAAAAAATATTTATTATCTTACATTCTGAAATGAGTTTTCGTGATCATCGACAGTGGAAAAAAATTACAATGGTTCATACACGCACCACTGGCAAGAAAAGTAAGAAAATATATTTTTTTAATTTTCGAAAAACTAGTTCCAATCATTAAATTGCTAATGAAGAGCGATAACCATACACTTAAATGAAAAATAAAATAGTTGGGCCCCAATGAGTTGAAAATAAACTAGGTGATCTCAATTTGCTCATTGGTGCACGAACGAACCACTGGTAGGAAGTAACAATCAAATAATCTACCTTTGGTGATATTTTGCGAAGCATGATACGTGCAAATGTTCCTTACATTATCGACAAATATAAATCGGGTGATTATGACAAACTCTACATCTTCTTTGAGCTTTATTTCCATGAGGTATAAGAATATGGCCAAGGTTATGGAAACAAATTTCAGCAACAGGGCGAGGTATATTTCTCACAACGTATACTGTCTCATTTTTCAAAGAGACGTAGGGCAACGTATGATCTGAATTCAATTTGTGACATTTTGGTTTGATTAGCCACATTATAGAGCTTCCAAGCATTGACAATTATACTATCTAGAGCATTGCGAAACATGGGCCACCACCATGCATTTCTTCCCCAACACTCTACATCTATAATTTGCAATACCATTATCATGGAGGTCCATCCCATGGATCGGTCATGGCATGAGGCTGGGGAATATTGACTTCTTTTTTCTCCTTCCGATTATATCGTTTCACGAGATGAATTGGTTGTACTTTGATATGAATATTCATGTCCCTCCAATTCTAGTTCATCAATTGCTTCCTCTAGAGCTGATAGTAGTTCTTTTTGGGTCAAAAACTTTCTGAAAGACATTTTTAGTCACTACAATAGGCAGAAAACTATCCCACACCACTAACGAATTAGTTATGAATCATTCTGAGCTAGTCTTACAGCTAAGTAAATCTTGTCTGAGCATGTCGAAATATTGTTGGAGCTCACGCAGGATACCAGTGGTGCGCAAACGCACCTATGTTTTTATTACTGCTGAAATTCTCTAATTTTTTATTTTAACAAATTGATGTGTGATATATCATATTGAGTCACTAAAAGACTACACATTGATAAAAACTGGGATAGAAAATATTTTTCCAAAGTCACATTTTGTCAGTGGTAACGAAATGTATATAGCCAAAGTAATTTTCACCCTACTTCGAAGTACACTAACATCTGATTTTTTTCTCTGATATAACGTTTTATATTTTTTCTCAACAGTATAAGAACACTGTAAGTTAATAACGACTGATTTTCGCGATATCAACTTTATATTGCTGGCAAAAAAATAACAAAATTGCGGTGCGTGAGCGCACCATTGGGAGATAATGGGTTAATGCCAATTCATTTCACCCGTCTTGAACCATTCTGGATCTTATCCAATCTTTCAGCCTTCTGAGTGTTGAAAAACTCCTTTCAGAAGATGCAAGACCTACAGGCAGGCAACATAATAGTTCCAGAAGAATGTTTATGTTAGGAAACAAATGTTTGTTATATTTCTTCAGAGTAGTTATATCATTCTGGTATATTTTGCTTAGTATCCCACATTTTCTTCCATATATACATTCCAGAAACGATCTTCTGAAATGAGGATATTTCATCATTCTCGCGCCTAATTGTCTGATGCTATTTCAGAGGTTAAATTTTCACTTATAATATCACGAGAGCTTCAATTATTTCAGGAAATTTTTTGGAGAACACGAACATTGTGAAAATTTGCTAAATATTCGTATTCGAGAAAAAATTCCCGGATATTAATTGAAGCTGAAGTGGTATTCGGTAAGAAAATTAACATGTTGATGATTTTTTGTGATGACATGTGAGAACTAACGTATAGTAACATCATGGGTTTTTGTAAATTTTGAATTTGCAAGTATAAACCTATATATGGTAAACTGTGATAAATGATTTTTATTTATTGGCTTATAGAATGAACTCTAAATATTCTGAAGTTGAATGTTAATGTCATTTAAACGATCAACGTCAAAAAATTTCCAGTTTGATTTCATGCTCCGTCTCCCAAGGAGGAGGAAAAAATTTCCAAGAAATTTGATCAGTTGCTGTGGTAACGAAACGAAATACAGGCTTTAAATTGATCGAAAATGTTAGGTGTGAAATTTTCAAATCAATCATAGCCATAGAGAGAAAATATTAATAGGGTATAAACACCCACTTCAAATCATAGCGACACAGCACTTTCCGCAGAACACCGAACAACAGTCATAAAAATGAAAAGAATACATGCAACAACATTTCAATGTGACAAAATAGACACATATGGATATACTTATAGCTAGTTTGGTCGTATTGAAAACACCATTCAATGATATATATCACGTTGCAATTCATTTACTTGATTTCATGATAGTTTTGTTTTACATTTTGTGTGGTGATAATAATGGATTCTCTATTTAAATAGTTTGTTTTGTGAATGGATGGAGAAGCATATTATCTCAAACGGATCTGTAAATCATCTCTTTGAAAATGGACCTAAAATATAGTTTCATTCTACTATTATAAAAAGTGAATTTTTATGTACCTCACAAATTTTGCTTTTTTTCGAATCAATTCTCCACCCACGTTCCATACATTCCTTCCATGAGAGAATGGGGTTAATATTTTCTTTGGAAAATTGAATGAATGAAATCCATTCTCTTCAGAATTCCCACAATTCATTGCTCAGTAGGACATTTTCATTCATACTTTCTTCTCAATAGTTCATGAAATTATATTACAACTCTGACGTTCATAGTATTTATTGTCAAAATCAAACAGTTTTGAATAAAAATCGCGAGACCACTATGGTGCTATTGTCACAATGCAAGGTGTGTAACCTAATAAATCTAAACATTTAAGAACACTAACTCTTATTTTATTAATACCATCCAGTAACTCTATTGAATTCCTCTTTCAATACCGTGATCTGTTAAAAAAATAGAGTGGTTGATCGATCAAGTACGCTCTGCTTGTCATGCAGAGCTGGAACTATAGCTGGCGGAGGAGGCATTTGTCACATGCGCAAATGACCTAGGGACGCAGAATGTGAAATTTTCCATTTTGAAAATGAAAACTTCACTTCAATTGAATAATTCTACACATGGGAATATTCTGAAATCTTGGAAAGTTAAAGTTTCTTTCAAGTGGCTATCGCCCCTCACTACTCTACTATTTTTGGTGAATATATTATCTGAAAGACCTAGAATCTCAAGACTAAGAAAATGGAATGAGAATTTGCGATCGCTCATTCACATTCTTTCAATTTCATTTGTTTGTTCTTGAATTATAGAATAGAAGATCCACTAAAACGCTTTTGAGTGATTATTTTTCTACCTTCTCGCTCTATAAAAATTTCTCTTTGGAACTGCTTTATTCTCAAGAAACATAATCTGAATTCACATTCTGCATTTTCAAACTAATTGTGTTGGAGTTATTATTAAGTTTATCCACGAAACGCTGGAGTCATTATATTGCCATTTTATGCCCTTATAATAATTTCTCTTTCGAATATACCGTCAACTAGGGCGACTTTGCCCGGTTTTGGAAGTTTTTTTATGATAACTGGAATTGTTTACGATTTAATGTCGAGTTCTTGATATAGGTCATTTCTCAGTTTGTTATCTATACGTATTTACAATTTCCAAAGTTCTATGATATCAAAACCATTCTCCAACTTTCTGTGTCATGTTTTGAATTGATGTGTGATCCCTTTTCGTCTCTTCTCAACGCATTGGTTCACTTCAACTTGCAGAAGCTCTCAGGGCTTCTGAGGGTTGTTTCGGCAACCAAGGCATAATCGTTTGAAATAACCCTATCAAACCCGTTATCGCTGAATTCGTTATGATAATCCCTAATCAATTATGGACTGAAATACAGGATGTCCTATCTGAACATCAAAAGTTGGTGTCGTTTCCGATGTAACCGGAAGTGATGAAAGAGTAGGATATATTACAAAATTTTCCACTACTCCAATCCTACACCTCCCAGCCAAATTTGAATCTCATACCTCCGGAATTCTCGAAACCACGGCTTACAATTCAGACACTGATGCTATAAATCGGCAGCTTGATCAGGAAAATCTATTCTCAGAGACTGCATGTGAGGTATAAAAACTGCAGCGAACCATTCATAGAATTGGGGCTCTTCGATCCAGCCGTGCCAGCCAGCAGAACACGTGTACCTTGTTTCAGGATAAGCTTTTTCGGAAGTCCAACGAGCTTGAACACCTACTCCTGTGAAAACAATAAGTGGTGAAAGATATTTATCATCTGCTGAAACCGTGGCTGATACTGTTGTTGATTCCTTACCAAAACCTCCTGAGATTCTTGAAACTAGTTTTCCTTTTCCGCCAATTGCTTTCATTGTCGAAGGACCATGGGAAAATCCACTCTCATCGAAATTTGAAATAAATGATGGTTTATCGTTCAGATGATGTGCATTGAAAAGTTAGAGTAGCTCTTCATAGAAGTTGAAAAAAACAAATGGCTCCCGAGCATTTTTCCGACATTTCTGAAGATGTTCAGGTTTCTTAAACGATAATCCTGAATGTCTCTTCATGAAGGAGTAGCTCCAATCATCACCAGGTTCTTCATTGTCACAAGGGGTATTTATATTAAAACAAAAGATTTCACATCTTGTTCAGTACAAGGAAAGCCCATCCTTGCGCTTGCTCTGATACAGTTTTCTAGGTCTAGTTCTCTTTCGCTAGGAAGAACTTGGGATCTTTCAGCACTCATTTTGTGTATTTAAGTTTTCCGACCTTCAATTCTATTGAAAACTACAGCTCCTGGTATGTTGTATGAGTTCTCAACCTCTGAGTAAGTTATGTTATGATTGAGAATGTCATGAACAGGTCTTGTTAAATCATCTTTGAATGAAGGTGGTTGCCTTTTATGGACATAGGTTCGTTGCATTTCTGAAAAAAAAAACATTCCATCAGACATGAAACAAATGAATATTGACTGAATGAAAATATTCACATTCACTCCGAAAACATATTAACAATTGCCTCAATCCTGTTAATTCGTGAGGTAAATGTAAACATGACTCTTGGAAGCAATTTTGAGAAAAACTAGTTTTTTTCTCAAATGACACATAAAAGCATTAGGTACTTCAAGAAACTAATGAACCATGTTTTACTTAGTACAAGCTCCAGTTGACAGAGATTTTACAAAGGTATACAAAAACGTACACTCAGAATGTTTATTGAAGACTGAACTCCAGAACAGTGAAAAACTGTCTGCAGTTAGATGAATAAGCGGGAAGAGGTTATGTGTAGCCAACATTATATTTAGCACTGCTACCAACTGAGTTTTGAAACTGTTTCGCCAATTACCCCAATTTATATTTGCTCCAGTCAGCCCTATATCCTTTCACGATCACGGAAGGATAGTCATTTTCCATGAGAATTAATTTTGCAGCATGTGCCGTAGGTGAATGCTGCAAATCATTCGAGTGGAAAATTAGCATTCCGTGCGAGTTAGGCACTATACTTTTCCTATGGCCCTAACAGATAATAGCAAAATTTTATATTTCTGCGGCTTGTATCAACAATCTGAATTCGTTTGATATATCCAGTATGAGACTTCAGGCTATATAATGAAATCTGTGATACATAAAATGTTGATGAGATTACTCGCACTTTTAGTTTATAGAATAAATACAGAAATATTGGAATATCCAAGGTATCCTGTTTGGAAAAACAAAATACATCTTATAACCAGAAGTTATTCATATTCGACAATACGCTCTTTAAATAGCTCATGTGTAACAGCCTGGATAATGAAAGCTCAATGTCTTTTATAGTAGGGGAGGCAAAGAGGCTGAATAAGGATTTACTCGAGCGTCGTAGGGACGTATCAGATTGTGAAGATTAGATGCGGAAATGGAAAAAAGTTTTTATGATATATGACCTTCCACTGGTGGGGAGAGCGTGTACAGGTGTTCAAAAATGTAAAAAAACAGTCACATAGAAATATTTGAACGCATCGGATATTAATGGTGTACTTATGCGCCTCACGTGTTTCTGATAACCGAAAAATATTAATCTGCCGGTTTGCATGGTGGGGGTGGCCGTACGAAAGGATAGAGAATAGGTTAAAAAAAATATTCGAGCGCGTTAGACATTGAGAAGGGACGTTAAGTGAACCCTCAAGTAGCTCCAATTCAAAAGACTGACGATTTGGATGAGACCAAAAGTCATGATCAATTTTTGAAAATGAAAACGAAAAATCGTGACATTGAAATACTCGAGCGCGTCAGATTATTATACAGACGGTTCATCTTAATATCCTTGTCGAATCGACCCATGATCTGACAATTATGTAGAGTAATTACCTTAATCTGACGGTTGGATTTTTTTGTTGACTGAATGTAATAACTAAATATAAAATATACAGGGTGGGTCAGTTTTTTGAAGCAGGACTTCAACAGCTCGAAGAATCCACAATTTCGAGATGGAAGGCTCATGTAGACATACAGGGTGGCAAAGTGAGATAACGGCTTTGCTGTTTGGGATAGATGAACAAAAATTCATGAGATGGTCTAGAGTCTAGACTGATGAGCAGTACATTTCTGAAATATTTTGCGTTATACAGGGTTACTCAAAAATGAGTGGCGTATCAAAGATTTTTTCTTATAGCACACCTTGTATTTTATTGTATTTTCAGATTCCTCCTTATGAGCTGATTGATAACAATAAACGAAGTGATATTTTTTTCAGTTTTCTACGTTACCACAATTACATGCATAGTTCCCAGTGGCAGCAAACACCAAACTTAATCGATGATTTTAGCTACTTCGGCTTGTGCATATCGGCAGATCATGTTATATCCGTGATCCGTGACTAACTGCCTTCAAAATAAGAAACAAAATTACCACGCTCGAGAATGTACAGGTGACGATTCTTTTTGCAACTTTGTGGCTCTACCATTTCCTTATGTAACGCACAAATCGTCAGATTATTGAAATGCACACTTTTCTGCATGTAATTAACGTACCATGTCTTAATCTGACGCGTTGGAGTATTTCTGACGATCGAATTTTTTTACTAATCTGATCGGTTGCCCTAAACTTTCGACACCATATAAGGGGCCCAGGTATGGTAGGAGTACTTCACAAGGTCCAAGGATACCCCCCTTATGTTGATCTGCCGCCCTCGAGAAAATCCCGAAATCCCCGCTTGGGCTTCCCTACTATTATTGTAGAGTATATTTTTTTACAGGTGCTCCATACTTCCATTTGAACTTAACCACAACTGACTCATCTTGGATGTGCATTTTGCAGACTTTCAAATTGATGCAGTTCAAATAGAATGCGTATTGTTTCAAAAATTGTCCAATAGAACTCAATCAGTATGATTAATCAGTCCGTCGATTATTTAATTATTTTACTTTGTTGATCATTTACTGTGGCATAACTCAATCAATTATTTTAGTCGAACAATGATTATTCGAGATTTATTTTTAAGTAATTAATTTATTTTTATTCGCTTAGGAACAATATGTAATAGGTAATATATTTTATGTTAAGTGAAAACTTGTTTTTTATTTATTGCTTATACATATTTCATACAGTGTGTATGTAGGTTATGGAATAAATTTGATATTTTATAAATGAAAAGCCTTTTCAAAAAATTTGAAGCACGTTGATTTTTAATGTTGACGTTCTACATTTCACAACATGGTACAAGGTAATACGGATTGAGTAGACGTTATTTTTTTTAAATTCAACGTCCCATACTTTCTGACTCTTTTGAAACAATAAAAACGAGCTGATTCTGAAGAGGTGCGATATTTTTGGTTTAGCGCACAGAGTTTGTGAGATGCTCTGAGAAACTAAATTATGTTGATTTTTAATCAGTATACGAATTCCCAAGAAATCCTGTGATTGATACATGACTATTTTAAATGTTAAAACTGTAGCCCTTGCTTTATTTGATAGTAATCCAAACGTTGTACAAATCTTTGTTGTACTTTAATTCTGAAATATTTACTGGCTTCATTTTATGAACAACATTCTTTAGATAAACTCACTTAAAATATTTCAATGGATTGACATCTGGTGACCTGGGTGGCTATTCAATATGTCCACGTCTTTCAATCCGAAAAAAAGTTGTCTTGGTACCGAACATCTACAGTATAGTGCGGAGGCGCACCAATCTGATGAAACCATAAACATTCATAAAAACCTCCAGGATCAAGATATCCCCATAAAAACTGACGGTGTGTTGGCCCGTTTGAATATCCTTCGTATAAGTAGGGTCCGATATTATATTTCTCACAATGCCAACGCATACATTTACCTTTTGCGGGTATTAGAACTTCTGTTCTTCTTTTCACTATTTAATATCGTCTTTTTCTATATTATTTCAATAAAATTCTCAATGACAGATTTCTGACTCTGACATCTCATTTATTATTTTTCTGTCTATCTTACTGTCTTTCAACATAATGTAAGAGTCTTTATTCTGGGGCCCTTACTTTGACACTTGTCGAACAGGCTCCTGGGACCTGTCGGGGTTTCTCGAGCGCCAGATTTTTGATAAAGGTGATTTACTTCACCTGCTCCGCCCAACTGAGTCGGAAAGGAGGCCCAAGGTAGCAACAGTGAAGAAAGACATCCACTGGATGTCTACAGTAAACCAGGGGTCAAAGCTATTGAATCGACCTGGGAGCAGGAGGCCAAGAGAGCATAGACTTTAATTACACACTTTTGGGGATTCCTGGAATACTGGTTGCTCTGAATAGATGTTTTGAGTCGTCACTTCTGGTGACTTGAGTACTACAACTCTTACAGGTAGTTTTCTGGAATTTGACTTTGTTTTATACCTTTGTTGTCAGAATAGGGAAATCAGAATCACATAAACAGGTCAAGTATAGATTTATTCAACTTCTTTCGTTCATCAGGTTACAGGCATTAATTAAATAAAGCAAAATCTATTATACAAACAGGTTGAGGTTATGATGTTATGAAATTGACCTTCACACTGAAAATTATGACATTCGAGCATATGCGAGTACAATAGCCATGCGTGTCTAGTACGTTCGGTGTAAGTGCAGGCGTAAGCAAAGCAGGGACAATGAACCACCGAACACGACCGGGAAAGTTGCAAGCGAGGATCTATTCAGGGAAGTGAGTTCGGTATCGTCAGGAATGACCACAGGAATGAAATCGGTTGGTTAAATCATTAACGCGGAACAGACTGGTGAAAAGTACTCCTTCAGAGTGTAGCTAGAACTGATAGATAGAACTGTTTCTCTCCTATGAGGATAATTGCCCCTCTCCTCGATTCTGAAAACTGGATTGTCCACGTAGCAAGAGATTTTTGCCTTTTCTTTTAACCATTCCGAGAACATTTTCAAATTTACATTGCTCCTATTTTTCAGAGCATATTCCCCCCAGTTGAGCTTTAGGGAATATGGCAGTTTACGAGTTATTTCATCCAACAACTGAGGATTATACATATGTCCTGTAGACCCCGAAAGTTCCATTGTAGTTATCAAATTGGTTACTGCATTAGAAAACCATATAATTGAATCAGGTTTTCCTTCTCTTGGCGACGGAGTCTTCTTTGCTTTTTCTACCAACATAGATATAATGATTTCAGGTCTTCCAAACGTCATTTCTAGGGTCTTCAATATAGTTTCCAAATTTGATGATGATATTAACAACAGTTTGACTGTTTCCCTTGCTCTCCCACGAAGACATTTCTGTATTCTTATCAAGTTCTCTTCTTCTGTAAATTTGCAGGCTTTAGTGGATTTTCTGAACTGTGAAATAAAAAGAGGCCAATCTTCTGGTTCTCCAGAAAACAACGGCAAATCTTTTATTGACTGTCTGTTAAGTAATATCTCTACAGGATCTTTCTTCACCGTCATTTGATATTCGTAGTTAGGAATCGGTTGCTCTTCAATTTGATTTTCAAACCAATTCTTGACTTTCTCCAGCCCGTTTTCAGATGCTTGTGTAAAATTATTATGTTCAATGTCACTTTCATATTTCTATAAGTTCTTTCTCTCTGAGATATCTCTTCTCCCTCAAAAGCTGTTCCTCTTGATCTCTTCTTTCTTCAATCGCTGCTAATCGTCTGGCAGCATCAAGATGAATCTCGATTGCTCTTTTACTGGAAGTATTCGATTTTCCGCTTACAGTTCTCAACGATTTCTGTGATTTCCTTTGTATCTGAGATAATTTCAGCATTTTCGTGTCTCGAAAATCCTAGGAAATCCTCAACTGGACTATCAGCCTGTCTGGCTTCAAATTCATTTGAATTTTCCTTAGTTATCCCACCTGCTATTTAACTGGTACTGTCTCCCAATCTTTCCATTTTATGGTATTGTTTTACCGAGTTGAAATTCTTCTTATAGCTCGAAGGACCTCTATCAAAACTTCTGTTCTTCTTTTCACTATTTAATATCGTCTTTTTCTATATTATTTCAATAGAAATCTCAATGACACATTTCTGACTCTGACATCTCATTTATTATTTTTCTGTCTATCTTACTGTCTTTCAACATAACATATACAAGGTATTTATAAAATGATAACATAACATTAACAGCGGGTATTGTTTATGATACAATTAGGCTTTTTCTGCCCAGTACCTACAATTCTGATGGTTCACCTCGCCATTGTACCAAGAGGCAGTTATTTATCATTGGTTCTATAGAGATGCCATTTTCCAAGTTTAAGTAAGGTTGTTTTGCTGACATCAAGATCATGATGTTGAGAACACAAGTGTGAACATCTTTCAAATTGAGTAGAACTGCGAATAACGTTTCATAATAATTTTCTCGTAATCCCATACTGTTATTCAGATTTAACGGTATTCAGATGGAAATTGAAAAGTTAATGTTAACAACCTCCGTCCGTTAAGACTGTTTAACGGCCGGCGGCCGTTATCCAAATATCTTTATATTCTTGCCTTCACGCCAACAATCGAAATTTTCATCTTCTCTTCGATATCGCTCTTTGGCTATTTGCGGCAGTAAATCAACACTCGCTGCACATGATTCTCTCAATATTTCTTAAGGAATTTGATTTTGTTTTGCAATTTCTTCAATTTTGTCAATGGTCGTTGTTGTAGCGAACTCGCGAACCCAAAAAACTGACGTTGTTTCTAATATTATTGTACTATTGTTGAGCAGTTCCATGACACCACGATGTTGGGATTTTTCTGTAGAATTACGAGGTACGTGGTTTGTTCTTCCCTCGGAATCAAAATGTAATCTTTCAGCGGGATTACGCAAAGTCTTGAACGACACATGGCCGATACACAATATTCAACCTTATCTGCTACATATCGGCCTTGTAACGTTGATAACTATTACTACCAGTTTTCTCCAAATTTAGCTAATTCCTTCTTCAGATTCATTGCAAGCAATAATACAGAACATTAAATAAATAACACGTAACTACTTTTCATCATCAGCAGCAAATTTTTATTCGTAATGAATCCGAAGGACCAAAATTTTCGACTAGCGTTTCAGTGGAGATGGGTAAACATGTAAATGTCAAAGACTATAATAAATCACCAACTAGAACTATATCTATGCTAAGGTGGTATGGCCAATGAAAATTCAAGACAATTCATTAATTATTCTCCATTTTATTGCATTTACTCAAATAATTTGGAAAAATATTCGATCAAAATTACTAATAATCAGAAATAAATCCTAACGAAATTTGTACAATATGTAATGACGCCTGCCCCGAAACAATCCTCCATATGTTATTTGAATGCCCAATTTATTCTTCAATGAGACCAACAAACCATGATTTTTTCACCAGCCCTGAACTTTTCGTAGATGCGCTCAACAGTATAACCCCTCCTACTTCAAAATCAATATTTCAGCACTTATGGAACATTTTGAAATTGAGGTCATTTATTGTGAACGAATGAAATCATTTCATTTACTCATGAACTTTTTTTCTGCATAAAGATTACTCAATGATTTATTGTATTCTGTTTTCATTATTTTTTTTCTTTTCTCTGTAGTAATTAGGTATCAACATTTGGTATAGTTTATGTATATAGATATATATATATATATATGTAATCAAACTCTTTGTTATTAAAACTGTAGTTTTTTAGAAACAAATAAATTTATTGATTGATTGATTGATTGACTAATAATCAGAATTTGACTTGCTTGGGTACCTACTGAGCACGAGACTATGCAATCATATGAGATCCTTGAATCAACACAGTTCATCGTGAAAACATAATAATGGGAATACGAGTCAATATCAAATACGAACAATAAATATGAATCAGTGGCTAATATATAAAATTGATAATTTTCGATTAGTGAACGCAGGGTAATAATTCGTCTCTTGAGCTCAGACGCATACGCTCCGTGTGGCGGTCGGACTAGAATAACCCCACGGTAGGTCCTGCCTGTCGTAGAAGGCGACTAAAAGGACGCCAATAGGTGGAAGATGGCTAACACAATCGCCTAGTGCGATTCCACCACATAGACTCTAGGCGCTGTGAAATGGGTTAAACCTATATGTCAGTAGCTGCTGGGT